AAATCATGCTGAGAAGTCAGGATTGTTATCTTCGACTAATCAGAGACTCAAGTCCGATTACTGATGTCCTTTGTCCTAAGTTAAGGTTATTATCCCCAGTTGAAGTTTGGATTGTTGTCCTCAGTAAGATATAAGCAGTAACGCAAAGAGCATTTGGGGTTGTTTACTCGTACAAGACGTGATGGAAATATTGTTTCATAGGGGAATGCCTCCTCCAAGTAAGAGACTTGTTGCTACTTGACAATGATCTGTCTACCAAGGGGTTTCTCTTCTAAGATATGTTCTCCCCATTAAAGCATCCTCGTTTCTCTGCAGGAGGAGAGTGTTCTTTCTCCCTGGAAATGTAGAAGTTTGTTTTAAGTCAAGATGATTCCTTTTTGTTGGACTGCAATTTATTTTTGTAGCATCTTCTCTAAAGTCCACTTTTTAGTGGCATTTCACCTTGAAGTCAATGTGTTGAAATTGCAATCTTGCATCATGGTTCTTACCTAGTGGTTGGTAGTTCAAATTGTTCGTTCTTTAGTGAAGGTTGCCACTCCATACAGGGGGCATATTTCTACAATTTCTCTTTTCATGAGTACTTTTGGTCTTGTATGACAAGATGCATACCAAAAAATTAATCAAGAAGGGTAACGTCAGGATTTTCATATAATGAGATCCAATTTCCCCAGTGGAACTTTTCTTCTTTCCCTAATGGAGCAAGTGTCCTATCTCTCTGGTGAGGTGTGCAGGAGAATTCCAGTCATAACTCTTTCGTTACCATTGATAGAAGATTTTATTGAGATGTCCCCAGTGGAGTTTCATCCAGGGATGTTTCTTTCTTCCCCCAAGTGAGGATCTTTTACCTCCCAGCAATTTTATCCCCAGTATGGTCTGAGTACAACTCTTTTTATTTAAAAATTTCTATACTCCCCAACAGAAGTTATCTTTGTCAAGAATTTCTATGCCAGAAGTTTCCATTCCCAGCAAAGCTTTCCTCTTTCCAACAGAGGATAAAGAATTACTCCCCAAGAAGTTAAGGGTTTTGATCAGAATTCAAGATTTTCACTGAACTACAATTTATTTTTGTAGTGTTCTCCCCAAGAAGTTACTTCCCTAGTGATATCAATCGTTCGATATTGAAGGTTTTGAATCTCAGTTCCCCATTGAAGTTCATATTGCATTTTCTCTACCAAAAGATCAGATGTATAAGAATAATCATTCAAAAGTTCATTATTTTCTCAGTATCCGATTATTGATATGTTTTACAGTGCGTTATTAAACATGTATCATTACATGGCATCATTACATTGCATCTACTAAAACGCGTAGCATATCTATTGTACAGAGCATTACGCTATAAAAAAATTCAAACATGCATGAGTATAAGCCAATTGTGTCCACCTGTGGTAACCAGATTGTTATACGCTCAGATTTGATTTATCTCTATAAACAAGCCTAGGGTAATTCTATTATGTTTCCCCAGCAAAGTTTATTTTGATTCACCACCAGTCGGGTCTTTGGTATTTCTCCATTTCCCCAGTAAGTTTGTGGTTTGCGCTTGCCTTTGCAAGCCTTTGGTTATTTTACCCGTGTTTGCTTTGCCGTTAGAGTGTGAGTAAGAGTTGGTGTATAACCTTTCTTGCTTCTCAAGTGTTTGAGTATCCATACTTGGTGTGTGGTAATTCAGATAATTTCCACTCTTGAAGAATTACACCCCGCCTCTAGCCTGAGGGATTTTTAGTTCTTGCGTATTTGCAACCTATCGAAAGCCCAACGTGTTTTGGCAATCTATGTTAGAGTCTGCTTTGACCAGTCTCTTTCTCTTGTAGAGTTCACCTTCGATCGGTACTCTTTAAAGGCCCCGTTTAGTCGGTTCCTTATTTTTGTTTATCCGCGTTAGTCGGGTCCTCCTTTCGTTAGCTTAGCTAACCTTTCATGTTAAGAGTCCTTCAGTGTCTCTTCAAAGTCCAGTTGTCTGGTGTCCTTACTTAGGCGAATGCGTCCTTTTTGTTAGGGATTTCTTCAGTTAGTCTCGTTCCTGTGCTCACCATCAACTCTAAACATTTGTTTCTTGATGCTCAATTTCGCTCTTGTGTGTCTAACTCTGAGCAGATATGCATACCTTTATCCCTTAAAGTCCACCTTCGGTTGGCATCCTTAAAATCCACCTTCGGCTGGTATCATTTGTTAAGAGTCCCCTTCGTCTAGTCTCTTTTCAATTGTAAGTTCGCCTTTGATTGGCGTTCTTTTCTTAGGAATCTACCTTCGGCATAGTATTCCTTGATGAAGATTCCCCTTCGGCTGGTTTCTTCGCCCTTAAAAGTCCATCTTCGGTTGGCATCCTTAAAATCCACCTTCGGCTGGTATCATTTGTTAAGAGTCCCCTTCGGCTGGTCTCTTTTCAGTTGTAAGTTCGCCTTTGATTGGCGTTCTTTTCTTAGGAATCTACCTTCGGCATAGTATTCCTTGATGAAGATTCCCCTTCGGCTGGTTTCTTCGCCCTTAAAAGTCCACATTCGGCTGGCATCCTTAAAATCCACCTTAGGTTGGTATCATTTGTTGAGAGTTCCCTTTGGCTGGTCTCTTTTCAGTTATAAGTTCGCCTTTGATTGGCGTTCTTTTCTTAGGAATTTACCTTCAGCGTAGTATTCCTTGATGAAGATCCCCCTTCGGCCGGTTTCTTTATCCTGAAGTCCACCTTCGGCTGGCATCCTTTAAATCCACCTTCGGCTGGTATCATTTGTTGAAGATCCCCCTTCGGTTGGTTTCTTTATCCTTAAAATCCCGCTTCGGCTGGTATCCTTTGTTAAAATCCATCTTCGGATGGTATCATTTGTTAAAATCCATCTTCGGGTGGTATCCTTTGTTAAAATCGACTTTCAGCTGATATCTTTTATTGAGAGTCATCTTCGGCTGGTCTCTTTTTCTCAGTAAGTTCGCCTTTGATTGGTGTTCCTTCGTCAGAGTCTTCTTCGGCCAGTCTCTTTCTTGGGTATGCCAAACCTTGACCTGACATCCAAGAGATTTACTTAGCTGACTACTGCGATCCAAAAATATAATAAAAAATAAAATAGGAAAAATGAAAAATAATAATACCTGACTGACTTCATAGCTCAAATTTTCGGGCTCTTTTAAGTATTTAATCTTCTTTTACCTTAAAGGTTCGAAAGGATGGCTCCAATCTCACCTTCAGGTCTAAGGCGATTAAATAGGGGCAGCTGTTGCACCCCAAAATTTTCCCTCCTAGTTTCTTATAATTGGCTTAGGCTTAGAATTGCATTCATATCTTTTCATTAGGTCATTAACATACATTTGCATTCAATAAAGAGCTTGAGGTTCAAAGTTTAGCGGCTGTGCGATATTAGGGTTTCGCAACGGTTAAGGTGTTTGTGTCCAATAAAGCCTGATTCTTCTGATCATCCTTCAATCAGTGAAATGTGGAATTAGGATTGCAACCTATGTTTATTGAGGGTTCTATTCTCTTCAAGTTAAGGGGGTTATTACTCATTCAGATAAGTTCAAGACAAGAGTCAGAGTGTTTCTCCACCAAGTTTGTGCTTGTCAGCATTTCATCAACCGAGGTTCATTAGGTTTTCTAAGTCATGGCCAGCTTGGTCATATTTCTTTATGTATCCCCATGTTCATTTCCAAGTTGTTCTACGAGATCAAAGTTGTTCTACGAGATCATATAAAGGGATACTAAATCAGGCATTCATTATCTCCTTGTGCTCAACGTCATCCTTTGATTAGGGTTTATTTCTCTAAATCATGTACCATTCAAGAGAGGTTTCTCTGGGAAGTTGTGATTATCAGGAAATGCTATCATCAGGGGATATCATCCATGGATAACCAGGGTCTCAATTGATATATCTTTGAAAAATAAGAAGTAAATCATTGCTTGAATCTCTAGTCATGTGAGCAACAACTCTATTCTAGAAAAGAAGATTCAGTTGGACCTTCTTCACGAATCAGGGTTCGTATGCCTTATGATGCAAAGCTCTTCATCTGGTCGATTGGCTTACTTGCGATATAATCTATGTTGTTCAGATTTCATTTCAATGCTTTGAAGATCAAAATCTAAAAGCTTTGTATAGAAGTTTAGGATTTATATCATATCATACTTAGTTTTATCAACATCTCCAATGGAGGTTCATGAGATGATAAGGCGTGATATAAGGATGGCATTGTAAATTCATTAAGACCAAGGCAGTTTGGTTCTCTTATTGTTTGTTATACAAGGTTGATGGGGATCAACGTGTTGGACCCATTTTCTCACGAAGGACATAGGGTGATGTTAGGGGCCATTTGGTTCATAGTCATCAATTGAAGATTGGGCTCACTTCATGACTTATGATATAAGTCATTTGCTTTAGGGTTCATTCAGGAAGGTGGAATTCTGATCACGGAGTTTGCTTTAGATTATTTCAAGAGAAATATCATGTGAATTTAAGTTTTGTTCAAGAATTGGATTAAGGTTCATTTACCAAGCATGCAAGGTTAGAAAAGGATTCATGTGGATTTCTTGAGAAACAAGTTATTTGGAATTTAGAGCAAATATCAAGTTTATGCATGTACAAGGGCGTTTAAGAATTATTCAAGGCTATTTCAAATTTCAAGATCACAAATCCAAATTTCATTCACCGTTCAAGTGACCATAATGCAATATCATTCAAGGTTTTCAAGCATTTTTAAGACGAAATTTTAAGTAGAAATTCCAAAAGTATGGGTATCACGACTCAAGTTTTCTTAACATGTGAATTTAAATATTTTTAAGAACCAATTCAAGATGTGAGGCCTTTTCGAGTTATCGTTCGTTACACATTCAAATTTTCAAAACAGTTTCATTCACAGTCGCCCGTGGAAGCCTTGAACAAAAAGAAAAAAGAACATTACAAAAGCAAAAGGATGGCTAGCTCTAAGTTCTAAGCCTAAATAGAATCTTCCTGAGTCAATTCTTGAGTGCAGACTTTTCTTTGCGTTCAAAGCTCTACCATACTTGCAAAGCTATCAATAAAGTCATGCATAAAAAGAAAAGCACACAGTACATCAATTTCAAAGGATGTTATACAACAAAGAAGGGTGAAACCCCTGAGCTTAAAGAAGAGCTTAATTCTCAGTACAAGTATAAGAGAAAAGATGCAGTGAAAAAAAGTGATTGCTGCTATGACTGTTGGAAAGGATGTTTCTTCGTTGCTCACAGACGTGGTGAATTGTATGTAGACAGAAAATTTGGAGCTGAAAAAGTTAGTCTATTTATATTTGATAAATTAAGCAAAGAGCCAGCCTGACCTTGCTATACTCGCAGTAAATACATTTGTGAAGGATTCTCAAGATCCAAATCCTTTAATTCTTGCCTTAGCTGTGCGAATAATGGGTTTCATTCGTGTGGATAAAATCACCGAGTATCTATGTGATCCCCTTCAAAGATTCCTAAAGGACGATGATCCATATGTTCGCAAGACAACATCCATTTGTGTAGAAAAGCTTTATGACATAAATGCACAATTAGTTGAGGACAGGGGATTTTTGGAATCACTGAAGGATTTGATATCTGATAATAATCCAATGGTTGTAGCTAATGATGTTGTGGCACTTGCTGAAATTCAGGACAATAGCAGTAGACCCATCTTTGAGATCACTAGCCACACACTGTCAAAGCTCCTCACTGCGTTAAATGAATGTACAAAATGGGGTCAAGTTTTTATATTGGATGCTCTCTCTAGATACAAGGCTGCTGATGCACGTGAGGCAGAAAACATTGTAGAAAGAGTTACCCCAAGATTACAGCATGCCAATTGTGCAGTTGTACTATCAGCTGCTAAGATGATCCTTCAACAAATGGAGCTCATCACCAGTACTGATGTGGTCCGAAATATTTGCAAAAAATGGCCCCTCCTCTTGTGACATTACTCTCCGCAGAACCTGAGATACAATATGTTGCCCTGCGAAATATCAATCTTATTGTACAAAGAAGACCGACAATTCTTGCACATGAAATTAAGGTGTTCTTCTGCAAATACAATGACCCTATCTATGTGAAAATGGAGAAATTAGAAATTATGATAAAGCTTGCTTCAGACCGAAATATAGACCGGGTTTTATTGGAATTTAAGGAATATGCTACTGAAGTTAATGTAGATTTTGATAGAAAGGTTGTTCGTGCAATTGGCCGTTGCGCCATCAAATTAGAGAGAGCAGCTCAGAGATGCATTAGTGTATTGCTTGAGTTGATCAAGATAAAAGTAAATTATGTGGTTCAAGGGGCAATCATTGTTATCAAAGACATATTTAGACGATACCCCAACACATATGAGTCCATAATTGCAACTCTTTGTGAGAGCTTAGACACATTGGATGATCCCGAAGCTAAGGCATCAATGATCTGGATAATTGGTGAATACGCGGAAAGAATTGACAATGTTGACGAGCTTCTTGAAAGTTTCTTGGAATGTTTCCCTGAAGAACCTGCACTTGTCCAACTACAATTGCTGACTGCTACTGTCAAACTTTTCCTTAAGAACCCAACTGAGGGCCCACAACAGATGAATCAGGTTGTTTTGAACAATGCCACTATGGAGACAAATAATCCCGATTTGCGAGTTCGTGCATACATATATTGGCGTCTCCTCTCAACTGACCTAGAGGAAGCTAAGGATGTTGTGTTAGCTGAGAAGCCTGTGATAAATGATGACTCTAACAACCTTGATCCTTCTCTACTTGACGAGCTTCTTGTCAATATTGCTACATTATCTTCTGTTTATCACAAGCCCCCGGAAGCATTTGTAACCCGCACACATTCATCGGCCCAGAAAACTGAAGATGATGACTATCCTGATGTAAGTGAATCTGAGTCATCTGTAAATCTTGCTAATGGTCCTGGGTCACCACCTACTTCCATCTATACAATACCTTATCCTCAAAATCAGCAACCAGTTCAGAAGTATCCTATTCCTCAACCTCAAGTTCATCTACAAATGCAACCTAATGCTCCAGTTCAACATCCTTCTCAGCCTCAGATGCAATCTCACCTTCCCATGCCTCTTAATGTACACGCTCAAGGGCAAAATACAATGTCACGTGCAGTTACAGGTCATCACTCTTATCCCCAACCTCTGCCTCATCAGAATATGGAAGTGGGAGCCCCTCAATCTAACATGCACTTGAATCCTCAAAATGGGCAGCTCTAGGGCCAGCATCATGTTCAGATGCAGAATCAGTTTCCTCAGCAAAATCCAATGATGCACCCAAATCAGTCTCATGCCATGTATCCTAATCAGCGGCTAGATTTATTTCCTTCACCTGTTCAAGGTCAAAGCACCCATCCTCTGCAACCACATCCAGGATACACTCCTAATCAGCAAGCTAGACAAACTAACCATCGTCCTATTTTGCTACCGGTTCAACAAATATTACCTCAGCAACCATTTGCACAACACCAAACCCCTAACCCTCTAACTGTCAAAAACAGAATCAAAACAGAATTTTGTAACTAACTTCCAATGAATCCCCTGGAGATTTTCTAACAGAGTGTTAACCTCCCTAACTGCTAACCGACTGTAACTGAATTTAAAACTCTCTAACTGTAACTAACTTCCTCATCTCCTAACAACCTAGTACTAACCCAGTTTTAAAACTAACAGAATTTCACTTCAAGAACAAAAAACTGTCAAAGCTAACTTCTAACTGACTATACCAAATTTATTGAACTCAGAAAACTCATAAAATATAGAAGGGGAGGGTGAAGTCTGAAACGGTGAGAATATAAAATCAGAGGAGAAAAAGTATCAGATATTACAGCTCATCAAATTTTCATCAATAAAATCCACACCATCCAAATCAATAACTAACTCTCCTAATCCATGGTTCAGATTGATTCAATTGATAACCAATTTCCATAACTAACTTCTAACAGAATTTCATAACAAAACCTTTAACCAACTTTCTACACAACTAACAAACTTCTTAGAAATCCCAACAAACTAACTGTATAGGAAGATAATAGAGTATAAAAGAAGGAGAGGAGGAAACTCAGAGGGAAAATGATAACTCACCAGAATTTCTCTTCAAATTTCTCGAAGCTTCTCCCACAAGGACTCTCGATTCTTTCCAACGATTCTTCATCAACCCTGCATTCTCTTCATCATTTCGCTTCAACCTGCACCTTCTTCTTCCACCACTGCACCATAATTATTCAACTTCTACAACGCCTTTAATCGTCAACTTTTCTTTTTCTGTTTCATCATCATCAACAGTTAGCAACTCGGCTTCAAGCTTCAACCAAAACACAGCTACGCATACGCAATCAAGAACAATGATAAGCCGCAAAGAAACAGACGCGCAAAGAAGAGAAGAAGAAGAAATTAGTGAAAATTTTACCTCTGGATTTCTCATCTTTGCAATAGTGTTGAAGAACAACCGAACTCATCTCCAGTAGGTAACGCCTTATAATCTCTTCCATTATTGTATAATGTGTTTTGTTGTTCTATTGGATCAATGAGGTTAAATCGCAAGCAAATCGAAGGTGAGGACAGATGAAATCGAAGGGAGATCTGGGGGGATGAGGCCGAAATGAAGCTCTTGACGGTGACAATTGATGATGTGAGGCGGTGTGATAGTAATGACGGAGGCAATGAGGAATAGGGAAAAGAATGAACGAAGAGCAGAGAGGGAAGGACTCTGTTCTAGTGGAGTTCAGAAGTCACAATTCTAACCTAAACGCTAAAACATCGTCGATTCCTCAATTTTTATTTTCTTTACTTTTTGTTTTAATCTAATTAAGTCCTTTCAATAATGTTGAATAATAATCTGAATGGATTTGGAATGTTGTTGGGCTAAGACGCGTTGGGCCGACACCCTCATTCTAGCCCATTCGTTTTTTGGGGCAGCTAAAAAAGCTGTAAAAAAAACTACTTGTGGACCAGTTCCGATTTGGGCTTAGAGTTGTTTCACTTACTGTATCTCCTATTCCCATATTGCACCCCCTGGGTTGTTTCTTACTATTTGCAATTTCTTTTGAATAATTTTGATTATAGCTTAGACTTGTTTTAATTTTCTTCACAAAAATAAAAATAATAAAAATCAGTAAAATTTATTATATTTTTTTCTTATTTTGATTTTTAGGAATTAATTCATGGTTATCCGATTATTCGAAATTCATGATTCACCTTTTCTTTGTTGAGATTTAAATCTTGTGCAGATTTATCATGCGATATGCGGATACGCTTGAAATTTCGATTGTGATTTATTTTTACATCGATGATGCTTCAACAATTATTCTGAGTATTGGATTTCTAACTCTTTTCTTTGTTAATGCTAGCAGCTCGCAAGATCATCGAGTTTCTTTGCTTTTTGCTTTGCTCTATAGGCTATGTGATACGGTGGGAGAACTGACTTGAGGTTTTGCGTTTGTGTTCGCAAATGTTTCGGTTTAGCAAGAGTCGCCACCGACTTTTTATTTTATCCTAAGGAAAGGTCAAAAAGCACAGGAAATACCTTTGAGATGTTTTCTTGGGTTCGGGGAGTTGATTATGAGAAGGGAAGGTGCAAGCACCCTTTTCATCCATGGTTATCCATGGGCTCTTAGTTACTTGTTTAGATCACTTGCTTTTGCTTTTCAATTGTTTGAAATGGTGCTTTGTGTGTGGTTTTGAAAATGTTTTGAAAAGAGGACATCATTGTGGAAATCTTTGTAATGATTCTTGTTTGAATGTATACAAAGATGTATGTCTTTTGAAAGTTTGATTTGGGAAATATTTTGAAATTGTGTTGTGAGGTGTGTTTGAAAATAGCAAGGATGTTTTTGCAAGTTTTGATCAAGTAACTAAGAGTTATCTACCCTATTTTACTCAAAGATCTTTCCTATATATTTTTAACCCTTTTGACAGTGTTGTTTTACCATTGTATTTGGTAAACAACCTTGTATTAGGATGTTAAACGGGACAGGCGCGGGTTATCGTATAGACCATGATAGCAATTGTGTTAAGTATTTTTAGCAAAATTTCCAAGGGACTAGATCATTTTGTTTAGGCAACCAAGATAGCGTCATCGAGGGACTATGATCTTTTGTTTTGTTTTTGTTTTGCCAAAATACTCAACATGCATAACATGGCCCATTTTTAAGGCAACGAGTGGATGTAACTCTAGGGGTGCAAGTGTGCATTATGTTGTCAATTTACATGCATTTTTGTCTTTGTATTAGTCAAGCTATTTGTTTGATTTTGGATTTTTTACATACAAACCCTAATCTCTAACCATGGCATAATTGAAAGCATAAATGCGTAAAATAAATCTATACTATTATAACATTTGATATGGGAAGGGGATACAATTTTTGAATGGGGATTATTTGACAAGAAATTAAAACCCTAATTTTACTATTACATCCAAATTGAATCAATGTCATAAATAATAAATGAATAATATTTAAATGAACAAATTAAATAAATACACAAAATATTATGAATATGCAAAAATGTTTATGTTTATTTTTTATGTATGTAAAAAATATTTAATGCAAAAAAGAAAGAAATAAATAAAAAAAGATTATTTTTTTTTATTAAGGGTAAAACCCTAATTTTCCTTTTAAGAATGTAAATATGTTAACTATATTATTTATGTACAATAAAAATAAAATATATTCAAGTGTAAAAAATTATATTAAAAAAAGTATTATTATTTTTTTTTTAATAAGGGTGGGAACCCTAGTTTTTTTTTTTTAAGATAATATATATTATATTCATTATTTTTATACAAAAATAAAATATAAATATACACAAATATTTAGATAAATAATAGTATATGAGAAAAATATTATTTTATAGGTATAAAAATAAAAATATATTATATTTTTTATAATATTTAAAAGTTTTTGATTAAATAAAATAAAAGTGTATTCTACTTAATAATTATTTTCATGTCTAAATAAAATAATAAAATAATAAAAATAAATGTGAAAATTTATGAAAATATTTTTGGATATTTTTTATGTTTGGGAAATATAAAATAAAATCAGAAAATGAAAATAAATAAAAAATACAAAAGTATAAAGAAATTGGGCCAGGGGGTGTAATCAGTAAAAGGGGGTGCAAATAACAAAAGAACCAAAGCCCAGCCCAAGCCAGACTTCATCTTCAACCTTTGTTCACAAACGCGCGCGCCCTGACTTCAAACATGGAAAACCTGCATACGTGCTCTAATGCAAAAACATAAAACATCAAAGTTGTAGCAGTTTTCAAGACGAATCCAACCATGTAAAGAACTCATTCTAACTCTCAAAGACCAGAGAGAATTTCTCTGGTCCTAAATCCTAACCTAATTTTTTCAGGATGTTCATGGATCAAATTCTCTTAGCATGCTTAACTAAAATGAAAACTGAGCATATGTACAGCTTCATGGCTATGAATACTACATTTTTTATTCACAAACCTAAGCCTAACTATTCCTAAATAGAGAGATAGGAAGTTGACAAAAACTTGTTTCAGTTGATATCGTGTCTGACAATGTGGAGCTTTTCAAGGAGGCCTGAGATGTTTGGGAGATTGCTTGAACTTCCTCTGGCCTTCTCCAATGCCTAGCTTACCTTGAATGTGCTTGAACAAGCCTACAGAACTCAACCTGCACAAGCTGAAATAAAAAATGGCAAACCTTGTAAATGGAGTTACAGTTAGTGTTTAAGGGTTGGGGTAGCTTGGATATGTTGTGTGGGAGATGTTTGAACAGGTTTGGGACAAAATGCACGAGGGGTTTGAGCTGTGGAAATCAAACTGCAGGGAGTGCCCTGTTTTGCCAAATGAAGATGATTTTGTGCTATGGGAGGTTTGAGGGCTCCAAGGGTCGTGTTTCTGGCTCAAAGGGATGTGAGAAATTTGTTCCAAATGTTTGCAAAGGTTGGTTTTCACAAATGTTCCCGTTCTGTGATATTGGACATGTTTCTTGTATATGAAGCAAAAGTGGACAAGTGATGCAAAGAAGGCCTGTACAGGCTATCCATCAGCTTTCATACTATGCTCTTGGCCCCTCAAGTTTGTGGATTTGATTTGTTGCACAAGATATGGCTCAATGCTCAAGGATGTTGTTTTGACATAAAGCAAGATTTAAGCAAAAATGGCAATGTTGCTTTTTCTATTTAAGGATTAATCTTGTGTGCAATGCTCTAATGACTGAAACAAAACCTTAGACCAATGGATTT